AATCTTTTAAATTAATATTTACTTATTAATATATAACTATATAAATTAATCTCTCAAAAATAAATAAGAGAAATTATTACATTAAAAACTTAAGAGAGAAATTAAAAAGTTTAAGATATAAATATAATAGAAGAATTAAAATATATTATAAAGATAGTAAAAAAAGAAAAGTAAAGATTTTAATTCTAATCTAAAAAGACTAAATAAGATTTCTCTTATAAATATATATATTATCTATATAGTAACTTATAATTACTTCTTATAGTTTAAGTAGAAACGTATATAAATAAATAATTAATTAATTAATAACTAAAGTATCTTATTTTATATTTTTATAGAAAATCTATTAGAAGAAATTATAAAGTTTTTAAATAAGTTTATAAGATCTATTTTAAATAGATAAAAATAGATAAAATAATTATCATCTTTAAGAAGTATAAATTAATATATTTTATTTATAATTTAAAGAAGTTTAATATAAAAATAATTATCGATTTAAGAATTATAGCTATAAAATTTAAAAGAAGTATTTAAATTCTAGATTTTTATATTAAAAAAAAACTTAAATAAGAATCTTATATTAAGAAAATTAAAATAAAGATAATTTTATAGTATAAAACGTTATTTATATTTATTATATTTATTTAAAGAATTACGATTAATAAAGCGAGATAAATATATAGCGTTATAATAAGATTAATAATAATTTATAAAATAACGATATAGTATATATTAAAGAAATTAAGAAAAGCTTAAGAAATATATATAAACTATTTAAAAATAATTAAAAATAACTATTTTAGAAGAGTTATAAAAGCGTATAAAGTAATTAATATATATATTCTAAAAATAAAGATAGAGATCTCTTTAATATAAATTATTTTAAGTAAAATAATTCTTAGAGATTAGATTATAAGAGAAATATACTTAATAATTAAAAAAGATAGTTTTTATATTAGAAGAAAGATAAAAGAAAAGAAAAAATAAAGATATAAAATAAAAGAGATTTTAATAGAAGAAAATATATTATAAGCTTTAAAGATCGTAAAGCTCGCTAATTAAAATATAATAATAAAATAAATTTAAATTTAAATTAAATTTAATATATTTATAAGATATAAAAGCTAATAAAAAATTAAAGAAATAAAAAATAAAAAATATATTAAAATTATTATTAATTTAAGATTTTTAAATAAATAAGAATATTAATATAATAAAAAGAACTAAAGTTAAATTAAAGACTTTTTTATTAAAAATTAATTAAAACTATTTTTTTTATCTTTATTTAAATATATATAAAAAAAATTAAAATTAAATATTTTCTCTATATAAATAGAGTATTAAATATTATTTTAAATAATTATATATATAATTAGAGTAAGTAAAATATTAAATATATTTTAATATTTTATTTAAGATAAATATAAAAGAAATAAATCTTAATAAGAGAGATTAAGATTAGCGATATATTAGCTATATTAATATTCTTTTAAAAGATAAAAATAATTCTTAAATAAATTATTTAGATAAATATTTTAAATTAATATAAGTTTAGATCTATAAATTAAATTTATAATCTATTTTTTTAATTAAAGCTATTATTAAGAAATAGTTCTTAATATTATATAATATTAATATAATATAAAAAAGTTATTTCATTAATCTATATAATCTATAGATATATATATATAAAGAGAGACGCGCTAAGATTTAATTAGAAAGGTATATCGAGTATAAAGAATTAATTTATAATAATTGCCTATAAAAAATAAAGAAAGATTATATTTTTATAATAAGAAGTATCGAAATATTGAAAAGAAATAAAGATAACGTATTAATTAGTGGTATGAATTTCATAATATCTTCTATCGTAGTAAAATCTTTCGAATAATGAAATAGCTATTAGAGTAAGATATCGAATAATTTTAATTCGTTTAAATATATATTATTCGATATTTCTTCTATAGAGACTTAATCGTCGTAATAAATTCTTCTCTTATAATATTATTATAATAATATATTATATTAATATAGTAGAAATAATAGGCTAAGTTATAGTAGTGTTCTTCGCTTACTAAGTAATAATTTAATGTGAAATCGTAGAGAGTATATAATGTGGGATCTTGGAGAGCTGAGCCGTGTTCTTGGTGCTGGGGGCCTTATTGCCGCTTAATTTCTCCGCAGTGTTCTTCGTATTCGCCTGCTGTAGTGACTTCTCTTACCCTGGCTGAGTGGATTGATGTGAGATCGTGGAGAGTAGGCCTGTTGTGTCACTGCTGCTGATGACTGTCTCCGCAGTGTTCTTCGTAGTGTTCTCCGCATTTACCTGCTGTAGTGACTTCTCTTGCCCTGGCTGAGTGGATTGATGTGAGATCGTGGAGAGTAGGCCTGTTGTGTCACTGCTGCTGATGACTGTCTCCGCAGTGTTCTTCGTAGTGTTCTCCGCATTTACCTGCTGTAGTGACTTCTCTTGCCCTGGCTGAGTGGATTGGTGTAAGATCGTGGAGAGTAGGCCTGTTGTGTTACTGCTGCTGATGACTGTCTCCGTAATGTTCTCCGTAGTGTTCTCCGTCTTCGCCTATTGTAGATCCTTCTCTTATTTAACTGAGTGCGAGGGTATCGAGAGTAAATGTGTTTATATTGGTGGAATTAATAGAATTGATAGAGAGATAGAAGAATAATAATTATATAAATAGGTGAAAGGATTATTCGATCTCGGACGCGTTTAATGTAATTATTATATTTAAATATCTATTTAATCTATTAATAGTAGACTAAACTTTATAATTTTTATATCGTTAGAAAGCGTAAACTAAGCTTTATAATTTACGAAATTATAAAGTAATAGTATTCGTAGAGAGCTGGTTATTTTAGAGTATAAAACTTCTATATATAAATTTTTAATAAGAGAGCTTAAAAGGGCTAGCGGGCTAACTTAGTCGGTCTAATTAAAGAGCGTAGTAATTCTAAATTTATAATTAACTATATATATAAATTCAAGATTTTATAGCTTAGTTCTATCTTATTCTTTTATATATATTAGTTTATTAGTATATATAAAAGAATAAGATAGAGCTAAGTTATAAAATCTTAAATTTATATATATAACTAATTATAAATTTAGATTCGCTACGCTCTTTAATTAGATTAGCTAAGTTATCGCGAATAAATAAATTAGCGTTCGCAATTATTAAAAAAATAGATATACGTTATTAACATATAGAATAACTTTTTTATTTTCTATTAAAATTTTTAGATTTTTTTTTTTAAATTATAGAACGAAATATGAGCTTTTAGAATAAAAAAAATAATTCTTAAATTTAGTCTTATAATTATAAAAGCGTAAGAAATTCAAATATCGCTTATCTATTTACTCGATAGCCCTAATTAAAAAAAAATTATAAATTTAATTTATCGACCTTTACTCGTTTATTAATATATAATTATATAAATTAATTTTTTATAGATATATAAGAGAAATTATTAAATTAAAAATATAAGAGAGAAATTGAAAAGTTTAAAATATAAATATAAGAGAAAAATTAAGATATATTATAAGATAGCGAAGAAAAGAGAAGTAAGAGTTTTTATTTTAATCTAAATAAATTAAATAAGATATTTTTTATAAATTTATAATATCTATATAGTAGTCTATAATTACTCTTTATAGTTCGAGTAAAAGTATATATATATAAATAATTAGATATTTAATTAATCGTTTTATTAATATACGATATATGATAATAGAGAGAGATATATTTATAACGAGTATTATTTATATAATTACTATATTAATAATTAACTCTTTATTCGACTTACTCTCTTTTAAAGTTATATTATTCTTCTCTCTTCTACTAATATTTATATATAGCTTTATTTTTTACTTTAGAGTATATTATTTAGATATAAAAGTTTTATTAACGCTAGAGAGTTTTTTTAAGTTATTTATATATTTAGAAAGATTTAAATTATTCTAGTATTAAATATATCTAATTATCTATCTATATATACGCTTATATATACGTTTTTTCTATATAATCTTATTATTTACGAGTATTAAGAAGACTTAGAAGAGCTATTAAGTTAATTTAAATAGTCTAATTAAAGATTATAAAGAACTCGAATTTATAATAACTATATATATAAACTTAAAAGTTTTTAACTAAGCTCTATTTTATTCTTTTATATATTTATTTATTTTAGATATTATAAATTATAAGTTTAAATCTATAAATTAAGTTTATAATCTATCTTTTTAATTAAAAGCTATCGAGTAAATTTAATAAATAAACTTTAATAAGCGATATTTAAATTTCTTATCTTTAAGTAATTATAAGATTAAATTTTATAGTTATTTTAGTATTAAAAATATAAATTATAGTTTATAATTAAAATTAAAATTAAGAAATTTTAATAGAGAAATAAAAAGTTATTTTAAAAGTAAATAATATATATTTAATATTTTAATAAGAAATCTCGAGAGAGCTAGCGAGCTAACTTAGATAGTCTCGCTAAAAGACGTAATAATCTCGAATTTATAATTAGCTATATATATAAATCTAAGATTTTTTAAATTAACTCTATTTTATTCTATTATATATATTAATATATTAAAAGTTTAAAAATAGCTATAGCTATAGAGACGAATAATAGTTATAGTATAATAGTTCTTAAATAGATTTTAGACTTATAATCTATAGAAGTACTATAATATAAAATACTCAGTCATATTATTATCAAGTTCTATGAAAGTAGAAGAGCGACTTGACATGGGCGAGCTAAGGTGCCTTATGTGACCGCCAAGCCTTGGCGCCGAGAGTCACGTGATCCGAATTCCAACACACGTGGGTGCCTGGACTGTCTGATGAGATGGGAAATCCCTTACCCTTCACAGTAGACGACGTCAAGCACCAGTCCGCTAAAAGCAGTGACAGCTAGCCGACAAATTGGTCTGTGACAAGTGGTGCATCATGTCATCATATTGCCATCTAGATAGATTGATGTCTTTCACAAGCTCGGGGAAGTTCTCCCAAAGTGCTACTTTGGCATCAGTAGCAGCAACGGACATACCCTATGATCTTCTCACCTTCCTCGGGATTGCGCAAAGTCTCAATATTGGTTTCCTTCCAATCTCATGGGATGTTGGACAGGCCAGTATCGGCAAGGGAGGTACAGCAGAAATAAGCCAATCTTCAGTCAATCTGGAGACAGCTTTTGCATTCAAACGTCTATCTTCCGTCGATTTAGCTCTATCCGAGGCGAAGAAAACAGCAATATTCGAAGCGCTGGCAGCCGAGATATCGGTGTTGGGCCACAGATCTATACGTGGTCATCCAAATATTAATAGGCTCGAGGGAATATGCTGGGATATTGAACCTGATGGCGAGAGGGTATGGCCCGTCTTAGTGTTTGAAAAGACCCAACACGGGGATCTCAAGACGTTGATGGAGCAAGGCGCGGGGACGAGGTTGGATCTGAGGGACCGAATTAGGCTATGTGCTGAAGTTGCTATGGCAGTCTCAGATTTGCATCTGAACGGTGAGCAATCGAAGAATCTGTTCTAGTCTCAACAGTGCAACTGATAAAAGAAGGCATTGTCCATGGAGACATCAAGCCTGCAAACGTCTTGATATTTGAAAATGACTCGAAGCAGTACGTTGCGAAAGTGGCAGATTTTGGATATTCCACTTGGCTTGGCGGTGCCAACGACATGATACTCATGCCCCGAACTCTACATTGGACCGCTCCAGAATGGCATCACCGTCCAATTCATGGCGCCAGCGCCGTCAGAATGGACGTCTACTCTTTTGGTATGTTCTGCTTGTGGCTTTTATGCTACCATGGTGGGGAGACCGCACACCGCGATTTCTACGAAGATTTGAAATCGAAAGAAGCGACGTCAGCCCTTGCCCATCAGTTGCTTACCGAAACGCACGATGTGAATGATGAGCAAAGGCGCCATCTCCACCAGCTCTTTGATCTGTCTTTGGCCATTGAACCAGCTGAACGATGCTCAAACTTCGGCCAATTAGTGCGTCTTCTTGCACCAAACAGGTAAGGCGTTCGCTCATGTTCGAAGAGCATGTTAGGTAAACTACGGGCAGAATTCTTGTCCCCCATATTATCGAGACGATTGCAAGTGATCGGCCCAAGTTCCCAAAGGACTTTCGGGTACAAGTGAAGTCCAATTCCTCATGTATGATTTTAGGCTAACTGTAGTTAGGTGGCTCTGTCAATATTTCCTTTGTACCAATCTCATTATAAGGTTCGTACCCACATTGCCGCGTGCCTAGAAGAGAGAGTCTTCAGGTCTTCTACGCTTGCACTTAGTTCACAACGTGCGGCTTTTGAGCTCTCATTATGCTACACGCTTGGAATGGGCGTGGATAAGGATGACGTCAAAGCCTCAGCTCTTCTAAAGCAAGCTGCAAGGTCGCAGAAAGATCTCAATTACGAGATCGATCGGATACGATACGGCGAAGTGAGATCATCTCCTCGGGAAGGTATCTACAATCAGTCTCTATATCGAGGTCATACCATAGCCAGATCAACCACAGGTGCTCATTACTATCTCGAGAAAGGAAATTTGGACCAAGCAGCATCGCGCATCAGAAAGGAGATTGCTGATGCTGAAAGCATTATGGGAGTCGATCATCGAATCATCGGAGTTCTGAAGTCGACATTAACCAATGTCTTAATCATGCAAGAACGATGGGAAGAGGCTCAGAAGCTAGAGACACAGGTTTTACAGTGGAGTTCAAAGACACTGGGGGAAAGACACCCAGATACACTGGGTACCAGGAGCAGCCTGGCATTGATTCATGGGGAAAGAAGACAATGGAAAGAGGCTGAGTTGTTGCAGACGCAAGTAATGACCGCAAGTCTGTCCGAACTGGGATTGGATCATAGAGTCACATTGACCAGCATGAGTAATCTAGCAACAATATACCACGATCAAGGAAAATGGGAAAAGGCCGAACGACTAGGAAAGCAAGTGCTGGAAATAAGGAAGAATGTATTGGGCTCCGAAAACCCAGACACCATGAACATCTCGGAAGTCTTGTCCTCCTTTAACACAAAACAAGAATTTTGGAAAAGGAAGGAAATAGAGGCAGTGCAGGTACCGATCAGTGATTGATGTTCGCGCAATACCGTTGACTGATTTAAGCAGTATGAGGAATCTGGCACTAGTCTAGTCTTACCAACAGTCGTATCGCCGGCATACTTACAGGGTGAGCGAGGACAAAAGGAAGAATATTTTTTACGAATATTGAAAATGAAAGAGAAAGTTTTGGGGAGGGATCATCCACTGATCCTGAGTATTCTGATGACTCTCGCGTGTATGTACCAGGAGCAAGGACGATGGAAGGAGGCGGAGGAAACAGCAATGGAAGTGGTGGGGAGAAAAAAAAAGAAAAAACCCGGAGCATCCCTCCACAGTGACGGACATGATTCGCTTGGGGTCAATCTATACTTCCCAAGGACGATGGAAAGACGCAGAAGAGTTGCAGTTGCAAGCGATCGATGTGAGCTCAAACATGGGGATGACCGTGCCGGAGAGAATGCTCGTTATGAGCCACTTGGCTTCGACTTACTCCCATCAAGGACGATTGAGCGAGGCCGAAAGATTGCAAGTGCAAATCATGGAAGCAAACATAACGCAGATTGGCCGAGAAGATCCTATGACTCTGAATAACATGGGAAGTCTATCGCTAACATACATGAGGCAAGGACAGTGGAAAAAAGCAGAAGTGTTGGCGTTGCATGTGGTAGATACGAGACAGACAAGCCTGGGGCCAGACCATCCCTTTACATTGGCCAGCATGGGTAACCTGATGAAGGTATACAAAGGACAAGAACGATGGGAAGAAGCAGAAAGACTCGCGCTACAAGTGGTGGACAAGCAAAAGAAGATATCGGGCGAGAGCCATCCAAAGACACTCAGACCCATGCGCGATCTGGCAGTAATATGGCATGCACAGAAATCACACAAAGAAGCCTTGATTCTGATGTCGAAAGTTGTTGGCCTTTCCGAGACAGCCTTAGGCTCTGGCCACCCTGACACGACAAGCCGCAAACAAACTCTTGATGATTGGGTTTCCGAAGCCACCCAATACCCACCGGCAGGAGATGATGAAGGGGCGAGAACGATTCCAATTTCGCATGGCACAGGTAGCTTAGTACGTGAAGGGCTTACAGAAACCTCTCATGTAACCATAGGATCTATCCAAATCGTTGACTGCGCTGCCGCATACAGAACATATGCAGGAACAGGAAAATCAGACTCGCGGAGAAGAGAAAAGTTGGACGCTTTCGAAAGACAATTTGCTTCTCGTAATGCCTCTGACAATGTACCACAAGGCTTTGATCAAAGGGCACGACAAGTCAGAGATTTACTAATCGAATACGGAGTCGACTGGGCTTATTAACACCCATCTTTGATGAGACACATTGGAAAAGGCTAAGAGACTCGTCTCTGGGAGGGGCTTTTCGCAGTCCTTAGATAGTACGGAACGAATGATAAGATTTGAGTTGTGTTTAAATTCACTTTTCCATAACGAGATACCTCTGTGAAAATCGGATGCTCTTGAGAAAATTTGGGCACTGCAGCATCGAGGACACCAAAATGGTGTGGGTACGAGGCTTTAGGGCAGTGCACCCCCCTAGAGTATTTTCAGGTAGCATAGCAGGGAGCATTGCAGGCGCTTGAGCCACATTCAAGCTTGTTTGAGCATGAGGGTTCAGCGTCTGACCCCCCGTTAGGTTCGCAGAACAGGGCAAGATGTGGAACTCAGCAGGGAAAAGTCTATGTTTCCGCTCGTAGAGGGACATTAAGCAAGAGTCGGGATCGTCGATTCTATGCAAATAAGCAATAGTTGCGTGGCTTGAGAATAAGTCTGCAGGTTGTTCAAGAACGCGGGTTTTTCGACACTTGTTTTTAAACGCTTTCATGGCTCGCGGAGTTATCAAGGGAAGCTATCTGCAAGGACGCCACCATATTGACTGCGTGTATATGTATATCGCCTTCAATACAGTAGCGCGCAGAAAAAGTTGGAGGGGATATGGACGTCACTGTGGGTTTAGAGGATGAACAAGACCTTTTACTCGTAGTAGGGCTAGGGCTACTTTTAGCGCTGTGCAGAACCTTTGGTGATGACCTCTGGCGACTCAGCAGTGGTAGTAAACCTTTCGCTCAGGAAGCAAGGACAACTCATTCTCATGTCTACCAATACCAGACACGCTGGTAGCATGTCGGGGATTTGGTTTTCTATTGAAGGATGCGATCAGAAGCGCGTCATCACAAAAGTCTCGGACCTAGACCGGATTGTGGATGTGGAGATCTAATCTTAGTTCGCGCTGACAATTGATGAGCTTGACAACGATTCGGATTATCATCAGCAGAAACCACTCGAGTAACGCCGAACTGAATTTGCCCCCGTCGAACAGAGTACCCAAATTCAACAGCGTCCCGCTGACTGTCACGTGTAAACATGATAGTCTCTTGCCAGTTCCCTGCTGCGTCACCGGCGCTCTTCACCCCACCCAGCTTTTCCATCGTTGTCTCCACCACCTCCGGGGAGCGGTCATTAACGTCAACTGTTGCAATGTATCCGTATTTGTCCCAGTACGCGGCCAAGCCGCTGCAGGTGATAGCGCACGGAGGGCGGCAAAAAAATTGCACCAAGCGGAACAATCCGATGTTCGCTGGCATAGGGCGCTACAGGGAGATAGCCACATCGAGTAGATCTGGTAACCAACTGCGACTCGAGTTGTTCTTGGATTTCCACAGATCTTACGAACGACGCGCAGCGTTGTCTAATCTCCAATGGCACCAGTGGTTCGGTAATACGCTTTGCCTCTCTTGGGCTTCGAGAGCCGCTGGGACACCTGGCTAAGATTATGGCGGTTATGTATACACGTTGCTTGTACACATTCAGTCCATCTACATTCCATCGGAGGGACGACTAGAGCGCGAGTCAATGCCACAGCATGGTTTGTGGTACAGGGTTCGGAATTCTGAATATCATTGACTGGAAATGGCAAATCTTTGCCCTCTGCCCAGCTGAAACTCTTTTAGATTTTTTAACCACTTCAGATGTGCTCGGTTCTCTCACAACAGAGGTCTCTTTTTGCTTTTAAGCTTCTGCGCTTCTGCGGACTATTAATACTCTGTCGCAAAGATTTGGCATTGCTCATACGCTTGTGCTTCAAGCTTCCATAGCATGATAGAACGGAGGCATGCGACATCGATGAATTATTTGAGATGCTGAGGTACAAAGCAAGGCCATCCGTCATTTATGCACGAAACAGTACACTGATAGATCAAGATCTTGACTTTGTTTCCTCCAGACAATGCTTAGAGTCAATGAACTGGTTTGATAGGCCGGTTACATTGCACTTTCATCAGCTTGGATCGTGTGCGACTATTATGTGTCAAAGCTTGACAAAACTTGCAGTGCAGTCCAAATATACCCCTTGGGCATTTTCAGCTCCTATCTAGTATAACGTCGAGAGACAAAAGGCAGCAAAAGCAGGATATGGATGGGTACGCCAGATGCTGTGCGGATTGTGGCTTACCTTCAAGGCTATATCATTCTCATATCGTTGTTCACCGCTTTGACAGTCCTTGCGCACTCATTTCACTGCAGGCCCAGAAGCATACACTCATTTGTAAGTACAAAATCACGTTCAGCATTCTGCTTTCTACTTTCCGGCCCAGTGCTGAATCTGATTTCGGGTGTATAACATTCTCTAGTTCCCCTAATACGACGCACAAGCCCCTCTATATGACGTTGGCCTATGCATTTGTGAGACTCCTTCTCGCCCCAATGGATCCTAAAATGTCCTCGGACACCAAGGAGGGGGTCAGGGACATGGGCGCCGGCCGACTTACTCACGACCATCTTCACTCTCATCAAATGCAGCTGTCTCTCTCTCTACTCGCTCCTCCCCTCGGAGGTACAAATTTCACTCCTGGCCTAAGCACAGGCTTAGGCTCAGGCTCTGGCCAGCAGGCTCCTGCGCCTGTCTTACCGGCGTCTGTGTCACCTTCACCGCGACCAGCGACGGTCTCCGCTACTGGTGGAACGCCCGGACGACGGTTCTACAACATTCGGTTTCAAACAGATCAGATTCAGTACCTCACCGGCGTTGATCCTCTCTTTTCTAACGCATCCTCAAACGTCAATGTCCGCGGCGGCAATACCAAATTCGAGTTGTTATGCACTGACTTCGACTGATTAGAGTGTGGCAGTCCTTATACCACTATTCGTGGTAGCGGTTTTGCTCTGTCAATTGCCCAGTCGACGACTAGCATGAGTGGGAAATACATCAATCCGGGCACGCATACGAAGAGCGTCGAGATGGTGCCTAGCCGTTTGAGCAAGGTGCAGGTCAGAATGGTCAAGCGGTAACTTATCATCATTAGTCTTTCGATAACTTCTCCGTCCAGGCTGTTCTCTCCTTTAAAGACGGAGAAGCGGTACATCGAGACTTGAAATTCCACCAATCGTGGACTCCGGTGGGAGTGACCTCCAAAAAAGCGGGTTTTTGTAGAATTCCCCTGCAAACCTGCAAAAGCCTCATCAGAGGTAAAAGAGGGGGGAGGGCGCCGTACGTGGAGGGACTCTCAATTTTTTTTCCCCATCAAAGTCTTGACTAGCTTGATGGTTGAACTCACACGTGGCTCTTATGGCGGTCGTAAATCTCCACAGAAGATGAAGGTCGCCCCCCAGTATTTCTGATTGCTATGCGTTACTAGAATCGACAGAGAATGTTCCTTCTACTACGATCTATCTCAAGGTCAGAAACCCGTCGTCGAAACTCTATGCCTTGCTATCCGATGGAATCGCCGACATATCGAATCCTGCAAAATCTCCCATGGAAGCTTCCTGTTGCTCTGAAAGAAATCAGGGGAAAAGGGTCGTTGCTCCACTACTCACTTTCGTTTCGATGGCCAATTCAGATGCTGGCTCGAAACTCCACAAGTCTGAGGCAAAACTCATTCTGCGAAGTTCTAACACTAGATAATTCGCCTGGTAGGTTCTTTAAACAGGCTAAATCAGCGTCGAGAAAGCGCTTGGATTACGAATGCTGATCTGTAAACGGACTTGAAACGACTGAACAGGCAGAGATGGAAAATGTTTCGGACATCAGTTCTCAACGTGAGGGAGGTGCAAGGTCTCTCGATGAAGAAACACACCTCCGCTGACACTATAGTGTAGGCGTAATGCTCCGTACTCGAATTCTTAGCTGATGACACCCCCATGGATCATGCCTTTCAATGTACATGAATTTGATCAAGCTTTTCCTGTGTCGTTCATTTTCTAGACAACGAAGGGAACCCAAATACCAGAAATTGCAGCAACGCTCGCTACAAAACTGTTCTTTGTGTAAGCCATCTCTGGGACACCAAGAAGCAAAGATTCTAGGACTGGGACGACTAACAGAGACGGTTTCCACATTATTGATAAGCTCTTTGCAGTAGGGCTTGGCGTTGCTGTTGCTGTTATGCTTGTACTCGATTTTTTACTTGCACTCATGGCCGCAGCTATGCTACTTGACGCTGCCGCTGAAGACTCGGCGACAAAAGCCTGCGAAAAGCTTGCTGTGCCATAGATGCTCTGGCAGTAACTTTCGTAAAGGCTCGTCGCAGTGGCAGCGTACGCGCTGGTGCTAGACTTGCAGACTGTATGAACGCAGCCGGTAAGAACGTCCAAGACGTCGTTGGGGGCGCTCAGACAGGCGCAGTCGTTCGAGACGTCGTCGCAACCCGACGGGTCGGCTAACCCAATCGGAATTAGACAGTTGTATACGCAGGACGGCTGCGACATGACCGCCGCCAGTGCGGTGATGCTATAGTCTGGGGAAGAGGAAGTCGCGGCTGCACTCATGGCCATGCTTGTCGACGCTGCCGGCATCGATAGGCTGTTCGGTACAGCGGTGGGAGACGTTTGGGCTTGAGTTAGACCCAACAGGAGGAAAAGAGATAGGAGTACCATGGCTATGGATCAAATCATCTGGCGGATGTTGTTCTGACAGTGGTTCACAACAATAGAAGGTCTCTCTAGTTATTTGCAGGAGCGGAAGAGAAGAAGCACAAGAAAGAGAGACTTGAGAGATTCTGGATGAGCTCTCCCCAGGACCGAGTGGGGATGCAGGCTCATGGGTTCCTGAACGAATAAGATAAGGACAATTTTCAGCGATGTGCAAGATACCTGAACGCGTACTAATACCGTGGGAGGCACCGCTAATCTCGGTAACGGTACGCCAATACCGTTTAATACCGTTGACATGCATAATTCGCTCAAACTTGCTCAGGTCGGCCAATTTCGCTCAGAGGAAGAAAAAAAGAAAGAAAGAATCTCAATTGCCGATGCGCAAAGGGAATAATGAACAATTACTCTTTACCATTTCAAGGGCCGGTCACAAGCTTAGCTTTGCAGAATGTTGGATCCTGCGTGCTGTATCTCCATTCGTAAGACTCTCTGCTAGAACCTCCCTGTTCTTCCTTCTACGGAGTAACCCCATTTCACTTGAGCACTGCAATTTTCGAAAGTACTGGAAAGCCAGCGATCCCAAAGTACAGATGGGGTTTCTTGCGAGTCTAGCATTCTGCCTGACGGGCGTGTTAGTTGGTCAATCAACAGCGCACTTTCTCCTCAATTTCCCCCCTACGATAGGCTTCGATGACAGTCTCGAGGCCACTCCTCCCTGCGGAAGCTTCACTGTCGATTTCTCCAAGGACAATGTCACAGACTTCCACGTCGGCGGCGATTTCATCGCAATGACTTCCATCCACCCCATGGCAACCTGGCTCTTCCGCGCCACGCTTGATCAGACCGCGTCAGGGAATTGGTCAGATCTATTGCCGGCCGTCGTGCAGACGGGTCTTGGAGACTACTGCGAGACTGGTATTATGGTACCTTCGACTTGGGCTGGTTCAAAGGGCGTTGTTGGAGTTGTGCAGGATGCGCCTGATGGAATTTTGTATCAGGTGAGTCTGCTTATTTCTCAATTTCGCAGTCTACTTATTGATACCGAATGTTAAAGTGTTCAACGGTCAACTTCATCGCCGGCTTCATCACGCCTTCCGGTATCTGCAAGAACGTGACCGGCCTGTCCGCGGCGTACACTGTAAGTATTTCCTCAGTGCTTGTCCCTTTCTTCAAACCCGAGTTTGAGCCTTGAGACATGCTGTGAGAGTACACTCTCTGGAGGCTGATCAAGGCTCCAAGTCCTGTTCAAACAAAAAGCGCTGACAAGAAAATCATGATGATAGACTGATGCGAAGCTTTCCTCTCTTCCCGCCACCGCAGCTGCAACCTCAAACCCGGCCACTTCTACCGGCACCAGTACTAGCACTGGTTCTACCGCTACCAGCACTGCCAAGGCTTCAGAAGCCCAGACTATCGATCCATATGGTGGACTGAGTATGCTCGTGGGGCTCATTACGATCGGTTCAGCGACACTTATGGCGGGCCGCCTGTGAGCGGAGAATGGGAAAACGCGGGCTCAATACCCACAGGGCGGACTACCGGGGCTCTCCGAGGTACATAGTATATACAATTGCATGCTGTTTTGCCAAGGACGACAGTAGTAGATTCGTATTCTCAAGCACTACTGCAGCAACACAGGAAGAGCTTGCTTCAGGACCTAAAGGACAAATAACCCGTTGCTTTCAAAGGAATGTGACATGTAACGAAGAGAACAATAATCAATCATGCCTCTCAACTTGTACTGCTGACTTATAACCATCAGCCATCAGCCATCAGCCACCGCCACGACCATCAATGCATGAAACCCTCACGATAAGAATGCACCACCATCCGAACGACCATCCCTTCGGAAGAGCCTCTCTCCCGACATTCTCATCTGCCGTCCGCCAGTCAGTCAATCAATCAATACTGGACTACCGTTCTCTACAGTGCGCACCAACGTGTCTACTTGCAAGTGCACTTTCCGCTTGGGCAGGCGCATGAGCTGCCGCAGCTGCAAGAGCATCCAGGAGCTAGGCGAACGTCAATATGTTTGGAGGGTGGGAAAACGAAAGGCAAACGAGAGGGCAACGTGGAGAAATGAAATGGGTGACTGACCCATGTTTTTTTTGTTTCTGGAGTATAGACTGCTGGGTGAAAAAAGGTAGTAAGGCTTGTGTCAGTATTGTTGTGAAGGATGCGATTTTTTGAGGGCGAATGTGACGCGACTGTTCTACTATGGTGATATCGTGGAAGCTGGAAGGTGTTATCGGGAAGATGTAAGAAGCAAGGAAAGTCGCAGAGGGAAGCGGGTATTTGTAGGCAGGAGTCACAGGGTGAAGGTGGCAAGGTGGGTTCGGATCAAAAGCACAGATCAACTGCCTCTTCTGGGAGTGGCTGCTGGAAAGATTGCAAGTCATTGGTGGGGAGCTCATGTTCAAGGCAAGCGTCTCCATGTACGGTGGGGTTCATCCAATAGATACTCAGGCAGTATGGGCCCCTGCAGTACTCCGTATGCCATGTTTCAAATGCCGATGCAACGACGGGACGCTGAGAAAAAGGACTGCAGCTTTAGAGAGATAGGCTCGGCGATCGACGATGGTATTTGACATGCTCAATATTGTAAGTAGTCTTCCAAGCATACCTCGGCAATCGACATTAGAGGTCAAATAGAAAGAGGAAGCAAAGGTTGTCGGCATCACTTTGTGTTTCGGTCACTAGAATGAATTTTGAGAAGTCGTGAAGCATGGAGGAAGATCGAACTGGCAGCCTGTGAGAATAATAGGACATGGATTTCCGCGAAGAATAAAAAGGACAAATATGGTAGCAGAACGAAAGCTTTCGGCGGGGAATTTTTTGCGACACCTCGCCGGGCTAATTACCCCTGATTGCATAATCCTTAAGAAAAGAAAAAAAATTTCCCCCATTTCTGGCACATCTCAAAATCAAAAATCAAAAATTTTAATTTTTCTATATAGGTTCATAATTACAATTAACTATAATCTAGAAAATTATTAAAATTTTATAAAATTTAATATATATTAAATTATAAAATATTTAAATTATTCGTTATATTAGTATATATAAAAGAATAAGATAGAGCTAAGCTTAAAAATCTTAAATTTATATATATAGTTAATTATAAATTTAGAATTACTACGCTCTTTAATTAGATTAATTAAGTTATCGCGAATAAATAAATTAGCGTCTATAATTATTAATTATTAAAAAAATAGATATACGTTATTAACATATAGAATAACTTTTTTATTTTCTATTAAAATTTTAAGATTTTTTTTTAAATTATAGAATAAAATATAGGCTTTTAGATAAAAAAAAGAGTTTTTAAATATAGTCTTATAATTATTAAAGCGTAAGGAATTTAAATATCGCTTACTAAAGTTCGCTTACTAAAGATCGCTTATCTATTTACTCGA